TCAACATGAACTTGTTGGACGATGAAAGCGACGACAACTTTTACGTCAGCCGTGAAAGTTACTTCTTTTTGAGTGATGCATAATTTAGTACGATAAAACGTACGATTTCAACCATTGGCGAAGAAGCTGTCTGGTCTCTGCGACTCTTAAGAGGTAAGGGCCAGCAGCATTCCGTATACACCTAGTTCGATAAGCAAGAACTTGACACGTCGCAAGCTGAATTGACTCTGCATCACCATCACGGTCATCAGCAGACTGGTTTTCTAAACCAGAAAAATCATTATTTGCTTCTTCAGCGTTAACAAGTGAATGCGACGCGAGACTTTAGAAATATAGGTCTCCATGTACCGAGGAGTCGAGTTAACCTAATTGGATGATGCCAATAAGGCGCCAAATCGACGATAAGGAGATGCGAGTTTCGTTTGCCAAATCAAAGGTGTCAGGTCTTGCAAGAACATGGGCTTTGATTATTCAGTAATATAATCCAAGCGTGTTTGGATCATTGGCGGTCTTTAAAACTATGCTCAGCCTAACTTTTGAGTTGCCACGAGCTGAGCTCAGGACTCTTTCAGATCTTCCGAAGATGTAACAAGGTAAGCGTGACGTCCACGCTAGCGCTCAGTCTGTTCTTAACCTTGCAAGTTGTATGTTGCGAGTGCTGTAAGTAAATTTGTGTCGATAACGTTATTCTTACATGGCCGAACAAATGGTCCCGTGAGGAACCGCCTGTTCCGATTCGAGTTAGTGTCGCTTGAAAAAGCGATTACAACTGCGGTGCAAGTGGACTTAAGTGTAGGGCATAAAAGCTTGACTCCTTGTAGTAATTCCAGACAAGAAGAGGCGAGGTTCCAAAACCAATGGACCTCTCAGTGTCGAGAGCGAGACTTCGCGCTTCAAACAGTAAGCTAATGCAAAAGTGGGCGAGCTACTTCCGAGGTAGCGGAAGTAGCACGTCGTACATTTTAGCTGGTTTTATGGGCTTGGTCCCATTATTAGCCAGTACGATATAGACACGTAAATTGAGTGTTTCCCATGAGTCCAAGGGAACCATTCGTACTTAACATGATTTAAAAGTCAAAAACATAAACAGACTTAAAAATGCTTAGTGCCTAAAACTTGGGTCTAGGCTTCCTAAGCATATATAGTGTATGTTAGCACGGGTTGTTCTAGCCCTATTACACCTGGTAGCATTTAGTAGTCCTTCCCATGCCCAAGTTTGGGATGACCGGTTGGTCGTGCTTTGAAGCTCCAGATGTGTTTCTGGAGCATGCAACTTTTCCTTATCTCACTAGTGTTGAGTGGGATGCTTTAAATTGCCACGCGGTGATATCTGTAGAGGGATTCGTTGTGTCGCTGATAAAATCAGCGACTCCTGATGGACAACGTCTCGCCATAAACGACTTCATGACTCGCGAGCTCGCCGAACCCAAACGGCGAGGTTTAATTCTCTCGTGGACTTCACGGAACAATGCCGTGAAGACGGAGAACTCCGTCTACTCTGGCGAAGGCAAAGAACGCTTGTCGCTGTCGCGTTGGTTTCGAGAGGTTGACATTGCTATAGCCTCGAAACTTCTCGAGGCTCCTCAAGCGAAGGTCAATTTCCTCCTTTCCCGTCTCACTGGGAAAGCCAAGGAGTGGGCTTTGGGTAAACTCGATGTGGACGAGTATGCGTTCTCCACTCTGGAAGCTATCCAGAGTGACCTTCGACTCGCCTTCGAGCCGCCACAAGAAGAGAAGATGATGCGTTTAACATTCCTGTCGTTGAGACAATGCATGATGGCCATGCGCGACTACGTGCAGATGGCTCGACATCTGGCGTCGTACATTGTCACGCATCCTATGGGAATACACACACAAGTTAACGTCTTTGTCGATGGCGTGCGTGAAGGGCAGACTCGCCTATCGCTGAAACGCGCGGAACCTGCTACGTTGACGGAGGCTTTCGCTATCGCCCTCCATGAGGACTTTAGAGTAACCAAAGCCTACACCAAGCCTTCAGTTGTTACCGCTGTCAGATCAGCGGGCCCGGAACTCATGGATGTTAATGTAATTGAGTCGTTAGGTGGCCGACGACGTGCTACGTCCTGCAAGGGTGACGTCCGTAGCGGACGTCAGACGATCTGCTTTCGATGTCGAAAGACTGCCGCGCGCCAGCACCAATGTTACAGGCGACCGACACTCATGAGAAAGGTGCTCCGCCCACTCGTTCAAAAACCGGACGATACCAGTAGGTGCAGGGCTCCCTACTAGTTTGGAGGGAGGTCCGGGTCCACCGGTGGCAGCCCGACTTCCCAGCGCACATGTGCTGCGTACACGGTAAATTGCCACCACTGAGAGTGGCTTTTCACGCCTGATCATTGTCCGTCTGCACGTCGCTGGTGTCCGGCGACCTCTACGAGCGCCCCTGGATTTGGGAGCGACAAACAAATTCTTTCGTGAATCTTGTGTGTCGTAGCTGCCACCCAGCATCCAGTTCCGCGAGGGTCCTGGCCAAGTTGTCGTCGAGATTGCGGACGGGAAACCACGCCGCGTATCGCGGCTCGAAGTGTCGCTCCCGTACACGTTCGACGGCTTTTGGAGCAGCGCCTATATTTAGGTGATTGAGATGAATTATGCATTCGATTGCATCCTGGTCATGCCATAGGTGGCACGTTACAAGCCCCAGATTTACTGGTTAGCAAGGTCAGTGAGATGTGGACGCAAGTTAGACGTCAGCGAACTGATTACTTATCTCTTGGTGTCCCCAAGTAATCGTTTAAATGTCGTAGTCGTGGATCGTGAGAACACGACACCGGCAGTGCACAGTGCATGCGATGGACCTCTATGCACCGCTAAGCCGTTCTTTTGAACGCAAAATACGATGTTTCCTCGCTTTGCAGCAAAGAAAAAACGCGGACGAGCAGTGGTTCCCGCACAAGGCCTACGCGGACAAGTAGTAGCTCCCGCACGAGGAAGACGCGGTAGAATAGATCTTCCCGCAAGAGAGAGCAGTGTTTGAACCGGGGTTCCCACCTGCACCTATTGTGGTTGAGCAGAGGCTCCTACGCAACCAATGTGAGGACGAGCAAGAGCTTGTCACCGAGTGCGACGTGGACGGACAGGAGTCCCCACGTTATAACGGGATAGTCGGAAAGGAGTTCCCAATATCGCCCACTGTGGTTGAAACGGGGTTCCCACATGGGCAATTTGTGGTAGAGCTGGGGCTCCCACACGGGGTTACAGCGATTGAGAAGGGGCTCCCGCTTCAAGCGTCGACGGACGAGTATGAGGTACTCCCGTCACGCGATTTCGACATCCTGGATGAGGACATCCAGTGTCTAGAGGAAGGTGATGGGATGTCACCCAGCTGCGGATCGCCAGCTTCGAGCATGAACTCGAAGCACGATGGTGGCGCAAGCATCAAAAATGCAGCGTTGGAATGCGTCCACGCTGTCTTGTACGTGGAAGGCAGTCCGCAAAGGCGGTAATACAATGAAGTCGCGAGTCCATCTCGCGACGCGTCTTCGATTACGAGGCTTCCAGGGTTCTCCTGGAAGCACTGCCTGCGTGACCTAAAAGGAGTTACGGTAGAACAGGTTTGCCCGGTCACCAACGAGGTGACTCATGAGCTAAACGAGGAGCACATGACGCGTCCTCGAAGCGCTAAACCAAAGTCAGCGCGCGAAAAAAGATTTGCATCGCATTCATGGGAGGATCTGCGTAGTTTTGGTTCTCCTGTCTACGAGATTGCTCAATAGTACGCAGGCGTCTTCCCGGACAAGATTCCGGCTCAACTTCCTGCCGATCGTGGCGCGCGGAACGAGATTTATCTCGTACCAGGTTTAACGTACTGTGTGACCCGGCAGTGGCCGTTGCCTCGAGACCAGGTCGAGACCATCGATGTATTTTTTTGAAGGTCGTCACAAGGCGGGCCACGTGCGTGAGAGTACCTCACCACACTCGAGCCGATCTTCTGTGTGAAGAAGGCTACGGGAGGATGGCGGACAGTGCATGCGTTTAGAAAGATAAACGATTCCACTATCCCCGCCCAAACGCCCAACCCCAGGAAAGACATGGTATTGATATCCATGTCGGGAAGTGTGGTCTGTAGCGCCATCGACCTCACCGATGGCTTCTACCAGATTCTGATGAGAAAGAGCGCCATACCACTCACAGCGGTGAGCACGCCAAGTGGTATGATATAGGAGTTGCTGGTGATACCAGAAGGATTGATGAATGCACCAGCCACTTTCAATAGCATGGTGTCTCAAGTGTTAAGACTGTTCCGAGACTTTGCTCCAAGCTACTTCGATGAAATATTTGTCCACAGTCACGCTGGGGGCAACCGTAGTGCTGTCCAAGTGCATCTTCAAAATTTGACAGTTGTTTCAAGTCATGCGAGATAAAAAGTCGTATGCAAACTAAAATAGGTGCGTATTCTGTGCACCGGAGATTTCGGTGCTGGGCTGCTATGTGAGCAGATCGGGGGTTAGAGCCGGTTCTGAGAAGGCGTCACCTATCTGTTCTTGGCCAACTTCAAGAACCCTACGGAGCTGCGTCAATGGATCGGTCTAACCAACTACTTGCATAAGTACACCAAGGATTAAGCCGGTTCTATTCAACCTCTGTCGTCACTGAAGGAAAAAGGCGCCACGTGGTCGTGGCGTTTCGAGCATTAAGCGGCCTACGACGCAGTGAAGAATAGTCTGGCGTCAGCGCCAGTAATAGTACTCCCGGACGACACCAAGCCGTTTCACGTGGTGTGTGATGCAAGTGATTTTGCTATGGGTTGCGCCCTCATGCAGTGCGATCATGAAGACCGTGAAAGAGTCGTGAGTGACCAGTCGCGACAGATGAAGCCGGCGGAGAAGAACTATCCGGTCCACGACCAGTAATCGCTAGCGATGCGCTATGTACTATTTAATTTTCGAGTACACTTACTGGGCGAACGCACTTTCGCCCTGTATACTGATCATGCGTTGCTGCGCACAGCGATGTAGAGCCCACACCTGTCGCAGCGAATGGAACGATGGCTCTCTTTCTTCTACGAGTACAACTTCGTCGTGCAATCCAATCCAGGCAAGAAAAACATTCTTGCGGACGCGCTGTCACGACGCCCGGATTACGAACCTCGGATGGCACTCAGTTGCCAGGCTACTGACGACAAAGATGAGGACGATCGATTTGCGACGTGTGTGTCATTGAACTTTGTTCGGGTCACACATGAGCTATGCCTTTTCGATAAATTTGTCGCGGCTTACGCGAACGATCCAGACTACGCGGACATTATGAACTATCTGCGCGCTCCCAGTGCATCATCACTAAGAGCTCTTTCGCGAACGAAGAGTGATCACATCCATCGAAACAGTGTAGATGGTGATTTGCTGTTATACAGCAACGATCGATTCGATGCTCCTCGAACGGTAATCGAAAACGACTTGGATCTGCGTGCTCGTTTCATCCACGAGTACCATGATGCCCCATCTGGCGGTCTTTTGTGCCACGAGGAGACTTTCGCGGCTGTGTCGCGTGACTTTTTCTGGCCCCACATGTACAAGTGGGCTCGCAACTGGATTCGCACATGCGAAATCTGTCAAAGAGTGAAACCATTTACATCGTCGCAGGCCCCCTGCGACCCTTGCCGATCGCAGCTCAGGCTTGGCGCTCAGTGTCGATAAACTTAATCTTGGAGCCAGCGCCCGACAGTCAGAACCGGATCGGCATCCTGGTCTTCGTGGACAGATTCAGCAAGATGACACACTTGGTGCCTGTTCATGCAACAATCACCGCGGCTGAGACCGCGGTGCACTTCATTGACCCAGTGTTTCGCCATCACGGTTTACCAGACGACATTGTCTCGGACCGTGATCCTCGCTTCACATCTGCGTTCTGGACTTCAATGTTGAGCTCCTTGTCACGAAGTTGCAGATATCGACGGCAGCCCATCCGAAAAAGAATAGGCAAACAGAGCGGGTCAATGGTTCCTTAAATATGTTCTTCGAAGTTATGCTCTTCCTTCACATATTGGAGTGCATTCTTGCCACTCGCTAAGTTTCCACTCAGCAACGCTGTTCACGCGTCAATGGGGTTGAAGTCATTCTTTGCGAAATCAGCTTGTCACCCTCGAGTCCTACTCCTTTTGCCGTGGGTCATCCCACATATCCAGCTCTTTGGCTCCACTCTGGAGGGGGGTGAAAGCGACAATCGACGATCGAGTGCAGCTCACGGTATTCTGAGCGGAAATGTAGTCAACCATTCCAAGTCGAAGTCCGCTGTTATGACGCCACGAGACGTGGCGTCCCCGCTGGCTCCATGGACTACACTTTTACTGATTGATCCTTCTTCGGGTATGCGCTCACCTAAATCCAACTACGCGCCAGTTGAGTCGGCACGACCAATTGATGGCATGGCTGTGTCGGAGTTCATACTTCATGGTCAAGTGATAACGAGGTTTTTACGAGATACTCTTCGTTCAGCAGTGGATAAGCAGAAAGAGTATGCAGACAAATGTGGAAGAAAGACCATCGGTACATTCAAGAAAGGTGGCGGTGTGTTGCTATCTACTAAAGGTCTAAGCAATTCGTCAGTTACCAATTAAGGCGCGAGTAAGCTCGCGCCACGTTTCACGAGTCCATTCATGGTGCTCAAGGCGATCGGCGACGCCTGCACGCTGAGTTTCCCTTCGTCGTTGCTCCTACACCCGACGTTATACGTCGGGAGAATGAAGGAGGCCCGTCCTGCTACGCTTCACGGATTAGTTCCGACCCTGGAGGCAAAGGCTTAAACGTTGACCTTCCCTCCCATCTTGCTCAACACGTATACTAATTTTAATTAAATATTTAAATTTTTAATTTTTTGAACCGTATATTAATGTTACATATACTACAAAAAAAAGAGCTGAAAAAAATGATATATAAGCTGTCGCGACTTCGTGCGCGTGCGGTTCAAACCGCACGCAAGCATCGTGTGCGCTGTATCGAGTTTCCACCTGAGCAAGATACGTGGAAACCGCGTTCGTCCCTTCTTCAGGACATTTCAGACGTCGTTCGGGCATGTGAGTCCGTGGAAACGCCCAATCTTGATGCGTCCGACATCTTATGTGCTTTCGTGGTGAACGAGACAATAGACTACGGCGTCGTGGTGAAGTGTCACCACGACGACGAAACTAAGAGTGATGACGATGTCGTGGTGATATTCCACCACGACCACGAGAACGAGAGTGTCGTCGTGATGAACGTGCTTCACCACAACTACGAGAACGAGAGCGTTGTGGCGAACGTGTATCACCACGACCATGAGAACGAAATCGTCGTGGTAGATTTGCATCACGACCAGAAGAACGAGAGCGTCGTGATAGATCCACATCACGACCACGTGAACGGGAGTGGTGTCGCCGTATCGACGCGCCACGAATAACTGCGGTGTTCCGCTCATTTAAGCTGCGCTCATACCTTTCAATCCAGAGCTGTTCATATTCACGGGGGGGGGTGTGCTCAGCGACGTGCTGTCGCCAAGCTGCGCGAGCTGGACGAGGCGTCAAGTCACAAAAGTAACAAGGTTCGTGCACGTGGACGTAGCAGAGTCAGCCTATGCTCCACGCATTCTCGCATATCTTCTTGCGCAGCGCGCCGATAGAATGATCGTCCTGGATCGCTTCACGATTGGCAAGCTATGTTGGAAGTTCCTTCCATCTTCAAGCATCCGATTCCATCGCCTAGAAGAGTGTGCGCACCAAGAACGCTGCAGTGAGTCATAGGAGATGCCTTCAAGACACTACCCGCGCAACCTGCGGAAGCGGAGGAATTAATGCTGCATCGTATCAAGTGAGTCCGGAGAGCAAGCTCCGGACAGGTCGTATAGCGCCCAAGGGATCAATTGCTGGTCTATCACGCAGTACCCTGAACTCCCGCTGATTGTGCGCGGAGTGCTGTGTCGTTGGTATTCGCGTCTTTAGTCATCTTTTGGTTTGAGTGACCGTTGGGGTCTTGCAGTTAAGCACTCACGGTTCGTGAGTGCTGTTTTGAGAAGGGGGTTAGGTAATGGACCACCCCGTTACATAAGTAATTCGATTAAGTTTACATGTTACCTAAGTAGGGGATCTACTTCCGAGGTAGCGGAAGTAGCACGTCGTACATTTTAGCCGGTTTTATGGGCTTGGTCCCATTATTAGCCAGTACGATATAGACACGAAAAATGAGTGGTTCCCATGATTCCAAGGGAGCCATTCGTAATTAGGATGATTTAAGAGTCAAAAATATAAACAGACTTAAAAATATTTTATACCTAAATCTTGGGTCTGGGCTTTCTAAGCGTAGATAGTGTATGTTAGTACGGGTTTTCTAGCCCTGCTACACACTACACCTACGAGTGTACTTCTTCACGCCGAGTGTCTCGTAATTTCTTAGAGAAGTGATTAACCGTCTTTTAAAAAGGGTAAAGGACGCGGGTCTGATACTGTTGCGCAGTTCTAATAGCGTGGCGGACAGTAAAAAACTGCCGGGGTCAGTAGGGGCGGTGCACCCTACTTTTTCAGTAACTTCAATAAAATTTGCGAAGTTTTGATGAAAGTTTCTTCAGACTCACAATACGGGAAGTCTCTGCAAATGGTTACATGTTGTACCTCATCACCTTAAGCTTATTCTTGTCAAAAGATTTGTCACTTTGTAACTTAGCTGACTGTGGGGATTCGAACATCTTTGTCCGTCGCCAGTCGCTAAAGTATCGTAGGCTCAAGCTCATTAAGCTCGATACTCCCCTATCGAGGCTGACGGTGCGCCTTGCAACAGTCTCATCGATAGTAGTGATAAAACGCGTGGTAGTATTTCGCTACACGTTTAAAGGCTTGCCGTCCAATGATATTTTTTAATTGATTTGGATGACAAGTTTGATGTCATCCTTGGGCTACACTAGCCCAGAAGGTACGAGACAAGGGTTGTCTAACAGCATCAAACCGTGGAGATGCTTGCCACTTGTTCATCAGATGGCCATCTGACGAACTTCTTGGAGCTCTCACAAGCATGTAAATGTATTGCGAGTGAGTGAGATAGACTCACTTGCGGTACAGTCGTTTTTACGACTGCGAAAGATTGCAGTGTGACAAACAATTTTACTGTGGAGGAAGCTGCCGGAGGCTGTGCGGAAGCACAGGCAGAGCAAAGTTTTACCACTCGAATAAGTCGAGTGGATCGGGACATAGGTTCACGCCTAGCGTTGGTATAAGTAATAATAAATCAATTTACCACATAAGGCAACACGATGATCCTATATCGTCTAAATAGTGAATTGTAGGAGACTTAGCTGTGGTAGCGCAACCAAAGCTAGTAGATGCCGGGAGAATAAGCCCTCACGTACATGAAGAATTGATTCCTCAAGCAGTTAGTGATGAGGTAACAAGACCTCGTCAAACTGTGGAAATAAGTCCCCAGCATCATGTGAAAATGGTTCTCAGGAAAAAACTGAGGCATTAAATTTCTTGTCTGATGACGAATCAAGTACAGGCGCTTATAAACTCGATAAAATTGCGCCTCCGAAGTTTAATTAAATGGACAAACAATTGCCAAAGCTAGAACCGAAACGGTTCTTGCGAGTTCTGCATAGTTGCAAGGTGTAGTAGATCCGTGTACTCTTTACAGGGGACGATTACGCGACCTAAATTCGTTCGGCAGTAGTATTCGCCTAGTCTGAACGTCAGTAGCCCATTGATGGACGAAGCTGAACTTGATGATATAACTAGGATTATGCAATCCACTTCCTAATTTTAGGCGTCTCCTCTGCAATAACATTTGGACGTGTTTCTTAAATCCGTGCCATGCGATTTGCCTAAGGAAAAATTCACTCGACACGAGGTCGAGCTCAAACTGGGCTCGTAGTACATTTTTATGAAGCAGTGACAACTGCCTCGTTGTCAAGTACTATCGATTGATAAGTACTTAGCCGATCGCTTAGCTGCGGGTCATGTGAGAAAGTCAACTGGTCCTCACAGATCTCCGGCCTTCTGTGCGCGCAGGCCACAGGAAGATGGCAGCTAGTGCGCGCATTCTAAAAATGGAAGTCTGCAATGGAACCGTTTCGGACGCCGATATTTCAGAAGAGCATACTTAATTATTGTACGTCGAGGAGGACCGTCCCCTCGTCCATGGAGTTGGAGGATGACTTATATCGAATCACTATGCGTGTACAGTACATCATTTACACTCTACGGTAGTAAGCACCCTGAGCGGTGTGCTCTGGGAGTGGCTATTAATGCCATAAGGGCTTAACAACGGCTCTGCCATATTCATCAGATTTTTTATGACCGGTGCGAGACTTCGCATCGAGTTACTTCGACGATAAATTCGCCCATAGCCGAGCTATGGATCGAAAGAAAATGTAAAGGGTTATAAACCGCACATTCGTCACTTTTTACACTTACTCGCAAGCATAGCTTTTATGCCAGCCTCTAGAAGTGTAAATTCACTGCTAGACAAACACATCTTCTTGTATCCATAGTATAAAACACGGATTAATCCCAGATCCAGAAAAGATCAAGGCGTTTGACGATTGACCTGTATCAGTCAACGTCAAGAGACTTAAAAAGTTTCTTGCTATATCGGCGTACTTAAACAAGTACTCGCGCAACTACGGTGTGATGGCCGTTCGTATCTCTTCTTTTATAGAGAATGAGAAGTGATCATGGAAC